CATTTGATTCATTGAAAAGATTAGATTTAAAAAATAGATTTGTTCATAAGTCATTCAGACTGATTCATTCATTTTGTATTCAGTTAGTCATTTTAGTAGTTTAGTAACCTGAATCAGTTCATGAACTTAACATATCTGAGAACTGAATCAACCGATTCACCTGAAAGATCTATTTTACAGTAGTGACGTACATTATTTATACTAGCTTTTGTAAACTGATTCAATGAAAATAAATCTGATTATAAAAACTTTTTCACACAAAGTTGGCAAATATAAATTCAGAAGACTTGGAATTTCTGATGTGAATCACATTTATGGTCATTTTATAAAGTCGATAGCCTCAGTACAAGTCATTGTTCATTATTGATATCAGAATGGTCTTTTATGTTGCACAAAATAAGTCCTAGAGTTTTGAATGAAGCAGAGTTTTAGAGTGAACTACACCTTTAACTGAGTTTCAGTCCGTCTGTAAGTCTATTAACCGTTACCGTTGCATTTCATTTCCTCTCTTTCCTCTCGTCTCTCTGAAGTGTATTCGTGTGTATTATGTCTCTAGCAGATGTGCTGCAGTGTGTGTTTGCTGTGTGTTATTTGCATGAGTTTGTCCCCTGCCTCCGCCCTTCTCCTTTCACTACATTAATACAGCTTTCACCTTGAAGGCTTTCAAACGGGACACTAAGGCTATTGATGGGTTGACTACAGCTATCTATCCGTCAATTATAACCGCTGACGTACAGCCTTTAAAAATCAACTTCGCCTGCATCCAGAGGAATCCCATTTACTTTAGCCAATAAGCAGATCTGGTCAAAAAAAAAAAAAAAAAAGAAACAGTATTTTGGTGTTAAATGATTAACTAAATAATACAAATATTTAATAATTATTAAGCTAAATAATGAACTTAATATTTATATTACATTTTATAAATTATATATATATATATATATATATATATATATATAATGTAATAACCACATTAATTGTAATTGCAACATTTAATTACATTTATTTACTCATTTAAAAACTATAAACATTGATTATGTTAGAAATATTCCTAAAATGTATTAAAATTTATTTTCATTTTTAGAAAAATGTAAAATAGAAATAGAAAAAATTTAAACATGTAAATTTAAAGACTTCTTCAAAAGTTTATGAAGTTTTTGTTCTCAAAATGGATGACAAAAAAGTGTGAATTAAATACTGTAAATGTTTTCATGGTGGTTTATCATTCTTTTGAAAATTAGCTTTTTCAAATTAATGATTCATATAGTGCTAACATGAATCTTTAAAAGGCCAGGTTCAAAATTCATAAGGGAACTGAACATCTCAAAAGCCCACAATAACAATCCTTTACAAGGCAAATGCTAACCGCACAGCTAATGCTAACCGCAGGCCAGGACGTCATTGTAGTTGTATGGAAATGACTTAATCTAGTACAAATCCTTCCTGCCAGAACGAAACACAAATACACCAGTGTTGACTTTGTGGGCGACTTCATCCAAACTAAACCTTTAGGAAAATGACATTTCCTCTTAAAGAGACAGTTCACCCAAAAAATAGAAGATTTGCACTTTAGTCACCCTCAGGTCATTCAAGATTGATTTTTTTCTTGAGTAGAACAATAAAGGAGATCAACAGACACTGGCACTTTTAGAGCCCCAAAAACAGATACAGGCAACACAAAATTAATTACCCACAACGTCTGAGAATACATTAAGGTGTTATGAAGTGAAATGATCGATCTGTGCTAAAAAATGAGCACAGTTTTCTTCGTTAAATACTCCAAGCTTAAAATCAGCTATCCCACAATGCATCAGAAGTGATGCTTTTAGACTTGATGGTCGCTTCTGTTTTTTACTGCTATTTTACTTTAAGTATGAAATTATTGTAAATTATAAATATAAAACTTATTTTACTGTTAAATAAATCTGTATAATGATAATGAAAACAGATTTTAAAATGTTTAATCTGTGAAAAATAAATATCCGAAGCATTATCTCGATATTATCAGAATATCTCCATTTGTACTTGATTCTTTTCCCCTAATCGAGCTGCATTTGTAGCTGCGAACATGCGACTGTAATTTCAGCCTGGTTGTCCTCCGTCAGTCTGGATCAGTCTGTGCTGGTATCTGCAGACTAAATCATATCCGTCAGCACAGAGAAACACAAACCGGCGTCCGCAGGGTGACGGAGAATCTCGCGCGTCTCCTGAAGTCTCCTCAGGACAGAGAGAGAGAAAGTTTGAGCGCGGTCGAGCTCATAGACAAAGACACGAGGAAGAGCTGCACTGCAGCCGAGCGCACAAACTCCACAGTCAGCAACTTCTATTGATTAAAAACTAACCTTGCCGTCTCTGCGCTGCGCTCGCGGTGAGCTGGAGAATTTCAACGAGCCGTCCACATTTCCAAACTCACAAATCACATCACTCGCCTGCACTATAGCACTGCATTACTGTAGGAGGTCAAGCTTCATATTGTACGTCTAATGTACATTACATATATAATCAACTAAACAACTAAAAAGAAAAAAATTATATATATATATATATATATATATATATATATATTATAGGTGGACATAGATACATTTTTTTATCTAAATTAATCTCACTGTTAAATAATGCACATGTTTTTTTAATGCAAATATATTAATTATATAGTTTTTTATATACATAGTTTTATATACAAATAATGTTTTTTAAAAACTCAGACAAATTGAGTGTTACAACAATGAGCAGCTTATTTTTTTGCAATTATTTGGCAGTCCTCAACACTTGACTCTGATTGGCTAAAAACTCCCCAGTCTTAATTAATCACGACGTCTGATTGGCGGCCATATGTAATGTCCCGAGCAGTGGGCGGAGCATGAGAATCACAGCACGCGACGACTCCCCTCTCATGTTTATTCACAGCCGGAGCCGAAAAGTAGAAAAGAGTCCGAAAGAGCTGCGAGGCCCCTTGTCTTGCTAATGATAGTCACGTATACGGCCGTCTGGTTGTCCCTCGCAACCAGACATGATGTAACAGCAGGATGAAGTTGGACTCGGTGGGAGGAGGGAAGCTGAAAGGGGAGGAGAGCAGAAAGAGCGAACCACACTTGCTGGAAAACCTGAACAATGGAGCTCCGCAATCAATAAGGCCATTTCACTGAGGGATTACAGAGCAAACTTGTTCACAGACGCTTCTCTGCAGCTCCCTGTGACGGGGAGTGAAGCTGTGAAGGCATTCAGAGAGTCAAACTGCATCTTAACTTCTGAGACACCAGAAAAGAATGAGCGTTTTCTGCATGAGGTTGTAATGGAGATGCAGGCGTTCAGAGTTAAAAACACTGCACCAAAGGTTTATGCGCAACTCATTTTTCTAATATTCACAGAGGAAACTTGATATCATCCATTGTGAATGGATGGCTTGGAAAATGTTTTGATGAATAAAAAACTTAATCAACACACAATGGGAATCTTGCATAGTACGAGATCAAATTCTGTTTACTTATTAGACAACAATTAATAATAATAACTTTGTTTATATGAAAAAGAAATGAATTTTAAATAGAACAAAATACAATTAAAAATGTGACAAATATTATAATATTATAATTACTTTAAAAAAAAAAAAAAGGAATTAAACGTTCCTGTGATTAAAAGGAACATTTTCAGCATCATTATTCCAGTCTTCAGAGTGTGACATGGCCTTTCAGAAATCATCTCTCATCTCTCATGAAACATTTCTGATTATTCCTGTTGTGCTGCTTCATGTCTTGGTTGAGACCATGTTTTATTTCAGGTTCATTTGATGAAAGCAAACCTTTTGAAAACATTCCAAACGCCACTTTTCAAACAATCCAAATTTTAGACTAATAAATGAATAAACCAAATCAACTAATTTTACAGCTTAATGATAGTATACAGATTCTGACTGGTGGTGAAAGTGTTCTTGCTGCTGGTGTCTATTTTCAGCTGCTGCATAATATCAAAATGAGAGTATAGTTCCTCTGCATATCAGCCTAGAACATGGGTGTCAAACTCCTGGAGGGCTCCAGCCCTGCACATTTTAGTTCCAACCCTGCTTCAACTTGCTCACCTGTAGGTTTCAAACAAGCCTGATAGACTCAGTTAGTTTGATCCAGTGTGTTTAATAATTAGGGTTAAAGCTAAACTGTGCAGAGCTTCGGCCCTCCAGGAATTGAGTTTGACACCTGTGGCCTAGAAAATTGCAACTTTTCAATTTCAATCGGTCTTAATACACAATGTAACTACAGGAGTCAAGCTTTAAATTGGAAAATACTTGAAAATCTGTGGTCATTGTTGAGCAAGATGCTAAAGGTCTAATCTGATTCAATGATCTACAGTCTCAACAAAAACAGACAGGTGCAAAAATTTGGGCACCCCAACAGATGAATGACATCAGTCTTTTGTACAGCCAGCCACCTTTTACTGCTTCTTGGGTCCCTGAATTCTTGCTCAAGGCATTTTAGCCTATTTTATTGCAGACATTTTCCAGTTCAGTCAGGTTTGATGACTGCCAAGCATGAACCGCCCTTTTCAAATCAATCCATAAATTTTTAATGATTTTTAAGTCTGGGGACTGAGATGGCCATTCTAGAACATTGTATCATGTCTGAGCATGAATTCCTTGGTAGATCTGGAACTATGCTTTGGGTCATTGTCCTACTGAACAACCCTTGCCGTAACTTTAGCCTATGGACTGACTCCTTAGCAAAGTTTTACAGAATCTGCAGATACTGGGTGAAAAACATGACATTATGTAGCTTTCACTAGAAACCGTATGTCATTTCATTGTGCTCTTCTTTTATAAAGAAAGATGGGTGCCCAAACTTTTGCACAAACCTGTATGAACGGATTTAGAAATAGCTAAACTCTAGGGGAGTTTTAAAATGAGCCTGCTTTCAAAAAAGTGGATTGTTTCTTGAACACTCTTATTTCACTGACCTTATTTGCTTTGTTAACATTAGCGATGTGTTCTTGCCTTGTCTCGTTTGCAGTGGTACCTGGGCTAAAGACTCCCGAACACGGACACACGGCCGCTCCGAGGTCACTCGACCACCCCCTCTGTCTCCCCTGAGTACGACCCGCAAACATGTACACCAGTCTGAACAGAGAGAAGCCACTTGCTGCCCCGTACCGGACAGACCCACAGCATGGCTCCAGCCGAACAACCCCGCCAAGCCCTGGAACAAGAGGAACCGCTTACACCCACTTACTATATATCTATATAGTCCAGATGTATTCTTCCATATGTATGGTTTACATGCCTATATTCATATATAGTAGCTGTCCAGCTCTTCTGAGGGTGGAGCTCAGATAAAAAAAAAAAACGAAGAGCTTTTTTTTGTTTTCCTAATTTTTTTTTTTTGTTTTGAAAACGTGCACGTTTTATTTTTATTTTCTGTTCGTTTGTTTGTTTTTGTTTTTTATGGTTCACCCTCACAGATAGACGAGGAAAAACGTAACATGACGCAATCAAAGAGCTTCCCGCTTCTGTGCCTGTGGTGTTAAAAAGAGAGGCGTTTCGAGATCAAAAACGCAGTCGACGGCCAAGGGTCGCGAACCCACAACCATCTGGAGGTCGGAGCTCTGCCTTTCAATCACTCGTGTTTCGACGCTGTTGGAGGTTTCGCCTGGGTCAGATTTACCACCAGCTAAAAAACAAACTAATCTAAACAAATGTGTATTGCGTCTTCTGGACCATTTGCTTCCCTTCCACCGCCATCATCACCACCACCGCCATCAAGGACTCAACCCCATTTTTATCTGTTGTTTTTGTCATTTTTGGGGCAGGCGATGAAGAAGTCATGAACGGTGATGTTTGATATCAGGTCATTTTACAGGAGATCTCCCCACTTGGAGGCATGTTCATATTTTGTGTTTTTCTTACAAAAAAAATGAGGAAAAAAAAGAGAGAAAGTCATAGTGATTGTTTCTACTAAACCCCAGCCGGAAGGTCTGTGGCACGCCAAGGGCCGAGTGAAGGTTCAATCTTCCAGAAACTTCAAGGGAAGGTTAACCGTGAATACTGAATTGAGGAAAGTGCAATTTTGTTGGGTAGATGTTGGATTGTTAAATATCTTTGTAAGATAGATCGTTGAAGCGATTTGTTGAAAAGTATATATATATAAATATATATATTTTTCTTCCTAGTCCGTTCACACCTCCAGGACTCTAAAATATCGGGGTACAAAAAAAAAAAAAATAACAACAACAACAACATGTAAAGAGAAAAATAGAACAAATAGCCTTGTGAGAAATAAGGGGAGCTGTAATTGTTTTTTTGAAATGTGTTTGTTTCTTTGTTTGTTCATCTTTTGTTAGCATTGTAGAACAAATAATCCCTTTAAGAAATATCGCCGTCAACTTTCTAGTTTCCGAAACGCTACAGCAGTTTTGATTTACTGTACGCAAAAGAAATTGCAGTTTGGATGTAAGGAAAACATAAAAATCGCCTGATTGAAGGGATAGTTTGGCTAAAATATACAATTGCTTCTTTCTTTTTAACATCTCATAGTAGATTTTTAGCTGAAAGTGTGGTCCTTTGTGATTTATAAAATGTAAGTTATTTTTACAGTAGTAAGCGCATCATTTGTAATGCTTTTTGCTCCTGATGATACATTGTAAAGTGAAACGGAATACTTATAAAGTAGAACTGAAAACCATCATAAAACCCTTTTTAACTCTAAAAGTGCCAGCATTCATTGGCTGTTTCCATTCAAAGATGTGAATTAGCCCAGCAGACACACAACATCAAAAGACGTTAATATTTGGCTAGATTTAGGTCACCAGTGTCTTAGGACAATGTTATTTTGATGTCCAATAACGACGTGAAATGACGTTGATATTTTGTTGATTTTAGGTTGTGTTGGAAAGTAATCAAAATCCAACGTCAAGCCAACATCTTAAACCAACGTCATATTGACGTGAAATACTGACATTTATTCATTAAGTATGGCAACCAAAATCCTACGTTTGATAGACGTCATATTGGTAACGTCCACACAACGTCAAGCTGTAACATCATTAGACGTTGATATTTTGTTGTTTTTAGGTTGCGTTGAAAAGTAACCTAAATGCAATGCCTGTCTGACGTTAAACATTGATGTTGGGTTCTGACCTCAACCCGATTTTCATTTCCTACAAAATACAACATCCCACGATTGGGATATAACTTCAATCTGTGCCTGCTAGGAGACTTGTTTGCAAAACTGGAATATCACATAAAACATTTGCGAAAAAACATAAGATAAAATTAGTTAAATGTGTCTTCGTTGTCGTTTATGCACATTTTTTCTCATCGAATAAACTGTTTAAGTGCATAAGGATTTTTTTTGCACATTTTCAAAATGTATCCACACCCTGGTGTTTCTATGAAGCATTTTTTCAATGCACGTAAAAATAGGTGGAAACATGGCTAGTGACTTCACTAAATCACTGAAAACCACAGTTTTAGCTACAAATCTTCTTTAACGTTCTACTGAGGAAAACAAATTAAAAATTTCAGACAAACCATCGCTTTAAATTTGTCCGAATGTGAACACAACAAGCGACTATCGAACTAACTTCCTTGCCAACACTTTCAAAAACTGTTGCGCAAAAAATGTGAAGATCCGAAAGCTTCCCTTGCATGCAATTTCCGTTCTTTTTTTGAGTTAGTTTTTCGTTCGTTTCCTGTATGAAACATATATATAAATAAATATATATATATATACGCTTACAGTCTCATCCACCGTCGATCAAAGCTCAGTAAAGTTACGAAAAATAAAAAAGAAATAATAATCTGCATGTTCTAGTGTTAGTGACAAATTTTTACATAGATTACGTAGAGTTTAAAGTAGTGTGGAAATATTGTAATCCCAACATCGGGCACTTGCCGATCAAGTATTTGTTTGGTCCCTTTAAAAAAAGGGTGTTTTTACTGCTGTTCTCACAATCAACCAGCTAAACATCTCTCTGACTCTTCTTAGCTTGTCGTCATTTCTATTCTGACGTCTCCCTTCCTCCTTTATTCCCAACAGAACAATCATTTTCATGCAACGTACGCACTTCATCGTCCCTGCACGAACAATTCCACATCGATGTGCCTTGAGCGATGGTTAGTTCGGAATTATTGCACAAGCTGCAATGTGGAGACTATTTTTTTACCTTTTCACCCTTTTGCGTGTCGTGGTAACTTGGAGAGAGTGAAATTACTAATGTTAATACGCAGTATTACTCTCCATTTAACCACCAGTGGTCGTCGAGCGCTTGGAAAATCCCATCGTTTACACTTCAATCAGTCGAAAGTCAATCAAAAGTGTTTTTTTTTCTCTCTAATTTAACACTAGTGTCATTGATATTTATGGATGTTTTGCAATTTCTAAATGACGACTACTTCTTTATTTTTTTCTTTTCAGTCTTCCTGTGTTGTTTTCTTTTTCGTTCCCAGAGATGAATAACGAGGAAAAGATTAATATGCAATACCTGCTTGCACTCATGTAGTCATTTTTATTTTTGTCGTGTTTTCATTTTTACCACCCACCAAAGTGAGCACTTGACAGGTCAAGTGGCTGAGCGTCAGTGTTTTTCATGCCCATGACACGAGAAAACGCCATTGATCAGCCTCACTTGGGTTTCACGCAATTTGTTTTTCGGTCATAATCGAGCCTTAAAAACGAGGAAACTTGCTTTCCATCACAAACACGCAAGAGCGAACACGTCCAGGATTTGAAAAAGCCCAGATTTTTTTTTTAATTGTACATTTTTTGGTGTTATTTTCTATCGCGTATATATTTGGGAAATAGTTTTTCCCGGACATCTGATGTGATGATGATGATTTAGTAGTTAAACTTGTGTGGGTTTTCTTTTTTTTTCTTTTTTTAGCGTGATTTATTACTTATTTCGGTCATTGTTCTTGCCTACCCTTTTTAGAAATGAGTTGGGCATTACTTTCTTAATCGTCTGCACTAAATATATATTAAAAAATGATTAAAAATCAACAAAAAAAAAAAAAAAAGCTTCCAGGGCTTAAAAGAGCGAAGGGAAACACGATTGCACGATATTTTTTTTGTCACGAAAACCTTGTTTGGAGCAGCCTGGCATCTAATCAGCGAGATTGGCTGTGCGTGTGTAAGATAATGACAAAATTGCACCCTTTTTAAAGAAAGAAAAAAACCGAGAAAAAGAATTTCAAGCAATAGTTTGGGCAGTCTGTTTTGTTCTCGTGTTGTGTGTGTGTAATTTAGTTTTTTGGTACAAGACGCGCGGGAGAGGCGAACAAAGTGAATCGATTAGATATGAGATTTAGGGCGGACGCACCTGAGTATGGGAGATTTGATGTTTGTATATTGTATAGTTTTATTAATTACACTGATTTTAAAGCTGCCCTATTTTATAATGCAGGACTTTTGTAACATTGATTAAATGAGGAAAAAACTAGTGTTGTGAATTTTTCTGATTGTTTGTATTAAGGCCACATAAATAGAACTGGTTTTGTTTGTCCTCTGGGGAACTGGATTTAAGTTGAAAACTTCCTGTTTCCTCTTTATTATTTTTTGTTTGTTTTATTTCTTTTTGCTTTCCTTTTTCGTTTTTGTATGTATTTAAGGACTTATTTCTTCTTTCGATGGTATAGAAGTACTCCTATGCTTGAAAAGTGTAGGATGCCGAGGTGAAAACCCCATTGTAAATGGATGTTACAAGTATGCTGTATGTTTTGAAGGTTATTTGTTGCATCAGTGTTGATGAAGCTAAATCTAGATACTTCTGAGGATGTTGGTAAGAAGAGAGCGTTTTTATGCATTTTAAAATTAGTTTTAGGCAGAAGACAATGACATAGACGGCCAAAGGATGCCCCTATTATAAATGCATCTAGGCATCTTTTTGTGTTCACCATTCCATGCAGGAAAATAAACCGCTTGATATGCAACATGATTCTTTTTTCTTTTCAACTTCTTCATCTTTCTTCCACCACCCACACACACAGAGACACTCGAGAGACGTTAAATGACAGGAAGGTCGTCCGCGATCGCCCCGTTTTACATTTCGTGAAAAAGCAAGGCTCTAGGGCCTGATTGCAAAGCGTAACTCACAGGAACAAGTTGGTTTGAGACACTAAAAAGATCAACGGTTAGTTTAAAAAAGATTATTCTTTGAATTTTCCTTCCATTTTTGTTCAAACTGTTTAAATCTCGGGTGTCCAAACTCGGTCCTGGCATACCTGCCAACACTCCTGTTTTTCCCAGGAGTCTCCCGTATTCCAGACCCATCTCCCGCCATTCCCCCGGTTTTGTTATTTCTCCCTCCTCCTCCTTTGTCCTCAGCTTTTTGGTAGAGTCTGTACAACCCCTGGGTCTCCAACTTTGGCATAGTACTTATCCGATCACAATGGCCGCTTGAAACCCGGTCCATAGTACTGTTACTAACACCACAGTCCTCAACTGTGTTATTCAGACAAACGCACATCCCTAACACGCCAGTCTCCTGGAATTTAAGAGACAAATGTTAGCAGGTATGGGTCCTGGAGGGCCGGTGTCCTGCAAAGTTAAGTTCCAATCCTAATTAGTCACACCTGGGATAGCTAATTAAGCTCTTGCTAGGCTTTCTAGAAACATCCTTGCAGGTGTGTCCAGGCAAGTTGAAGCTAAATTCTGCAGGACACCAGCTTTCCAGGACGAAGTTTGGACACTCATGGTTTAAATAAGCATAATATTACAGATCACATCTGACAGAATGTGAACAGTTTTGTTCAGAAGTCTTTTTGGGATTTCACACTGCATTATAGGGCATTTACACAACATTGTTTTAGATGAAATCGAATGAACTTTTCTATGTTTTCCCATTCATTTACATGACAACACCTTTTAGTGGCCTGAATTTCAGTTTTTTCCAAATCACTGTCTACATTTTTGGTTATTTTTGTGGACCGTTGTGGCATTTATGCACTTAAATATACGTGAAAAATGGGCCTATTTTTGTTGCGCAGACTTTTAAAAATGATGTTCATGATAACTTTTAGCCCATTGTTGTCATGTAAATGTATAATTTTTCAACAACACTTTGTCCGGTTTTGTTCACCCAAATTATATCATGCAATTCATGATGTGAAAATCTAGTCGGAACAAAATGCTCCTTAATCAATGTTCCTACGTTAGCATCATCATTTTTAAATTTTATGAGTTTGGTAGTCCTGAAACAGGGTTAAATAAAGGCCCCGCAAGCCTTTATCATTTTTATGTGCCCGTTTTTGTGGGCCTTGTTGATCTATCGCTAACTTTTCTTCAAAGCAGGAACTAAGAATTGGATGGTTTAAGGCAGAATCTCGGCTATATATCAGGGTAAATATCAATCATGAAGTGTAAAAAGCCAAAAAAACGAAACTGTTTAATCATGCTTATGTCCATTTTCACTGCTCTGGAAGATTTGACTACAGGTAGACCATGCCATTTTTTCGTTATGCTAACATGTTAGCATCAGCAAGACCCAGAATACCATTAAACATGGGTGAACATATCGTCATCTTCATCCTCTAACCCCATCAGCGGCAGGTGGCTTAACTGCACCGAGCGGTTTCTATACAAGGTGCTAAATCTTGCTAAAAACGGAGGCTAACCGGAAAATGAGCCTGCTTTCTGATGGCATAGCAGCGTAATCCGCATGAAAACTATGCACTGACGACACGCTAACCTAATCAGAGTCTGGTACTTGCACCTTTGCCTTCCTCTTTTTTTAAAGATCTTGTATCGGAGTCGACAAGAGTAATGAAAACTAAACGCAAACCAGCATTTTACCTGATGTATTTACGAAGATCTAATGTAGTGCCTGTGAAAAAAAAAAAGAAAACTGTATTATATCTCGCTCTGAATATCGAAACCAATTAACAGTTTGTAATCCGTTCGGTTTCCTCAACACCACTAGCCTTTTCTGAGTATAACTGTTCAGTAACCACACACTATAAACTGCATGCGCCTCCATAATCAGCTGATATAAACATGACTAGCTAGCTCTGCTACCAACCCTCCAAGAACCTCCAGTCCATTCATTGAAGTATTACGGCATAACCGAGTCATTGATAAGTGCTTTACATCCACAAAAATGTAGGGGTTTTGATCCATGCTCTGCTGTAGCCCTCAGTATATCCATTATTTCCAACAACAGTCATGAAGGTTTGGCTAGAGTGTTCTCAAACTTGACTTATTTGAGTCAATAGTTTGGGAAACCACGTTTTTCGGTTGATAAAAGATTTGTTTTTCTGCCAACTGGACCAAGTTGAGCTTTGTATTTTATTCACTTACTAAGAGGTGACTCGTTTATTTGAGATTCAGAGTTTTTGATTCATTCAATCATTCAAGAATCAAACCACAATATTAGTGATTCGTTTGATTCTCTGAATAGAACAGTTTAAGTTATAATGGGAGGAACACGAACGATGTTTAACTGTGTTTTTGATTCACTTTATAAGAGGTGACTTGTTTATAAAAAAAAAACATTTAAGATTCAGGGTTTTTGATTGATTCAATTATTGGAGAATCAAACTACAATATTAGTGATTCATTTGATTCTCTGAACAGAACAATTTGAGTAGTAATGGAAGAGACAGGGCTGATGTTGATCTGTGTATTTGATTCACTTAATAAGAAGTGACTCGCTTATCAAATTCGTTTGAGATTCAGGGTTTTTGATTGATTCAATCACTCGAGAATCAAAGTACAATATTAGTGATTCATATGATTTTCTGAACAGAAAAAAATTGAGTAGTAATGGAAGAGACAGGGCTGATTTTGAGCTGTGTATTTGATTCACTAAGAGATGACCCATTTATCAAATTCATTTGAGATTCAGAGTGTTTGATTCATTGTCATTCAAGAATCAAATTACAATATTAGTGATTATTTTGATTCTCTGAACAGAACAATTTGAGTAATAATGTAATGTAATGTTCCATTACAGTTTAATAATAATGGAAGGAATAGGAGCAACGTTGACCTGTGTATTTGATTCACTTAGAAAAAAATGATTTGAGGAGTCACCTGCTCAATATTTTCAGTTCATTAGACTAAACGGGATACAGTGTATAGTCCATTTGTTTCAGAATCAAAGTTTTTAAGTTCACAATAAACTGACTAAATCAAGTAGTATTTCTGAGAATTAGACAAAGTTGAGCTGTAAATTTGATTCGCTTACTAAGAGGTGACTTATTTAACAAATTCATTTGAGTTTCATTTGTTAACCTACAATTTAACTGCTGTTTAGGATTCTCTAAAAAAAAATTGAGAAAAAATGGGAGAAACAGGACTGATGTTGAGCTGTGTATTTGATTCACTTAGAAGAAATGCCTTGAAAAGTCATCAGCTGGAGATTTAACAGTTTATTTACTGAGTCATTTGTTTACAAATCAGTTTACATCGATTGCTCTGTTCTGTTTTATTAGAGTCATTCTTTGTGGAATCAAACTCCACAGCTCTCAGCTCATGTTTGAGTCATTCGTTCAGGGATTAATTGGCATGGATTAGGTTTTGCTAAAATAATACTCTGTTCACACAGTTTTTTCATTAATTTCACTCACACTTTTGGGAAACAAACTAAACAAGTACACTTGATTCATCGAGTCATTTGTTCAGTAATCAAAGTAGACTATTGTTTTACTAAAACAAACCAAATAACCCAAGTCATTTGGGGGATTTCAAACTTTAGAGTTCCTTCAGAGTGCCATTATGATTTTTTTTTTTTCTGGAATTGGACTACACAGGTCACAACGTTTGCTTAACTGAGTCATTCATTCAGGAATCAAAGTACTCTATTAACACTGTCTATGATTCACTAACAAGAACAGATTCATTTGAATGTTTTTGGGGGAAGTTAATCTGTGCATTTGATACACTTCTTTTTTCTGATTTATCTGAGTCAATCTTTCAAAAATGAAGCTAAACGATTCACATTGTTCATTTCTGAATTACAAGCTCTGTCTCAAAGAATCGTTTTGAAAATTAAAATTCAATGGTAATAGTTTAGATTCACTAAGAAGAACCGCCTTATGTTTCTAGAGACCGGAGCCAAATGTGTCAGGTTCAAACATCAGGGAGAGTGTTTAGACTCTTACAGTACAACCAATCAAATCCAACATAAAGTCTCCCAATAGCTATCCATTATACTAAAACATACAGCAAATGTTCACAATTAAAGGGTTTATGTTCATTAATAAAAGATGACAGAGGTGTTTTTGAATTGTAAAACCACTTTTAAGAAACAGATGTGCTTGTGTGTGTAGTTTGAGGACGTTCAACAAGAGTTCTGAAAGATCCTTGTTAATGAAATTAACCAGCACTGCGGCCCTAATTGTAAAAAAAAAAGACAATCCTGGTGGTTTGCGTGAAAGATTAAACATGAATCTGTGGCGTGATGTTACAAGACACCTTCATCTAGCTCCACCGCTCCAAATCTTCATGTCCATCATCATCAATCATGTCTCCAACCTGATCTCATGACAAACTGTAACTATTTTATGAGATGGCGACTTCTTACGAATTTGTACGATTTCATTTGTACGAAAATGTATGATTTGCTACATCAGTGTTTCCCAAATATAAATATACATATTTTTGGTGGCTCCTATCTAGAAATCTTATTTATGTTTTGTCAGTTTAGTGGCTAATTCGAATGAGTTCGAATGACTTTAGTCGTATAAAAATATGCGGTTTAAAAAAGGTGGCGAGGCACCCAACCCCACAAAAAAAATTTTATTCAAACAAAAATTAATTACTCGCGCAATATTTTTATTTTATTTGTAAGAAAATGTATGATATCCTACATCAGGGTTTCACAACCTTGTTCCTAGGGGCACACCAACAGTACCTATTTTGGATGTGATCCTTATCTGACCCATTAGCTTCAGGTTTTAGAGTTTCTTCTAATGTTCTGATGGGTTGATTCGGGTG